AGTCAAGCGTGGCACAAACGTACCATCTTACATCACAATTGCCGGAAGCCTTTATGGTCTATTTCGATTCCTAAGAAGGATCCCTCTAAACTATGTTCGACAAAGTAGGCCTCCGAAAAACTTATGCCATCTGAAACGATTGACCATAGGACCGTTAATGATCCTCATCATCACGGCCAAGATCGGCGGCGAATACCGTAGTAAGTCATGTCTTTCGCATTCTATGAATATCTGATAATGGATATATGGCCATCTTGGACTAAGGTAATTCTCTCAACTACAAGTGCAGTGACGATGAGCGATCGCACTGTACTACTCAGACTACCACTATTCGGTAGTGAGGCAGGAGCATGGATTTAGACATGGAAGTAACCGCAAGAAAAACACAACAAGAAACATTGCGGTACAACTTGGCATGAAATGTTTATCGGTGCACACAGAAGCTGTGTATTGGCGACCATGACAGCTGTGACGTTCTGGTACCAATGTTTTACGCAAATGAGTGTTTGTTTGTTTTATTGAAATGCATAATCCATGGTTTTCTGAATAAACAACACGTGCCTTTCGCGTTTTTTGCTGATAACACAAGAGTATGGTATCCTAAAGAATTTTGTTAACCTGCCAGATGATTATATCACCAACAAAATAGAATGCACTCGCTTCAACAATGTTGTCGTCTCACATAACAACTAACCCTGGTGTAACTCAGAAGACCATCCTGTTACTTTACATTTGTAAAGTGTTATCACAAGAAAAAAACGTGGCTTTCAAGTGTGTTGATTACGTTGCTTTCGGTGTACCTAACTCTGACAATCATAACTCGACGGTACTGCAGTATAGTTCAGGTGGCTCGACCGAAGGCACAGGCGGTTGTAATCCAACTCGGAACTTCTCAGAACATATCAGTTTTATTTTCACTTTCTAATGACAACTGTCACCCGCAATTACTGCAGCGGCAAGGGGACCTACTTATTCAGAGTCACAGCATAAACTGGCCTTCTGATAGCAATGGTGTTCACACAAGTCAACAACTTAGCTCCTTTGTGGTTCGTCTTAAACCACTCTTAATCCTCCCCACACTGATCCACTTCAAGACTTACTGAGACCCATCTACTTTCACACTGCTTCTTCTGTAGATTTTTCTGGTAGCTAAAGAAAGACCTCATAGTCAAAAAATGTTTGATCAGATGTAATGGCACAGTAGCATATTCCTGATCAAAGCTGTCGTTGAATTCCTTAAGATATGTAATAAGCTTGCCAACAGACTTCCTAGTGATTGTACTATACCTCTGTTCCCAGACTTACTGTTGATCAGATAATATAAAATGGTGCACACTCTTGTTGTAACACAAAATCACCGAAATATACAGTTTTTCAGTATCACCTAATTTAGCCAGCGATTTGGTTAACCCTTTAATGTTCGTTGAGTGTTTGAATACAAAGAAACAAAACCCTTTTGCTACTCTGTACGTCACTAAATTTATGGCCCTGATGTCCAGTTTTTATTGTAACCACTGCAACTCATATAATCTGACTAATGCCGAATATGTTGTTTCAACTATTGTGACCGCAAAATACGCAGGTCGTTTATTGTACGAACGCCCGTACAGCTTATGTTAAACGTGGGACCACGAACACGTACACTCATTTGCACGGCTTACGTGCTTTCACACACACCGGGTAACAGTACGTTATCATTGGCCCTGATGGAACTTCCCCCATAGTGCGTAAACACTAGTCCAATAATCGCTTCTGGTCTGTCGTCTTCCTGACGTTGAGGCTTGCCCTTTAGTTTCTGAATGTCGCTTGTGAGTAGTATAC